GTGCCACTAAGCTATATCACCACCCTAATCTGTGTATTCTACTATGTAAATTATGCTTCAGTTTAAAATCCCAAATCTCACCCCCAAATGCCAGAGCTTTTATATAACTTTTGAATAACTTATAGTGTATTTGAGTGGTCAGGTTAGATTTGCTAGGTGGGGGCTGGGAGAGTAATAAATAAAAACTACTTTCCTTTGCCTTTACAGTGAACTCTGGCCCTCCAAAATTTATGATCTTTCAGACCAGAAGGATGGTCGAAATATCCTAACATGTTTCTGAAACTACTTTATATGATCAGCTTTTGCCTTGTAATCTGAACTGCCAGTGTCAACATTACTTGTACTAAATTTAAGAAATGAGAGTTTCTTCCAGTATTGAGGCCCCAGGAAGCACCTTTTTCTCCTGTAATTCCAGATCCTTCCAAACAGAATTAACCCTGAGTAGATGTATTTGTTAAAACATGTATACTTATAATCTGTGTATTTTGCTATGTAAATTATACCTCCATTTAAAATACACCCCCAATCACACCCCAAAATCCCACAACTTCCAATTCCAAATAAGTATTGCCTTTCCCATATTATTGTTGGGCTTTTGCTTGTTTCTTGCAGTTGAAGGTTCATCTCAGAGACTGGCAGTAGATCATGGAGCTATTCCAGGGGGTCTCTACAGCCAACAGGCCTTCTAGAACAAAAAGCAGCAGTAACCAAGTTATTTAGGCATTATATTAAGCACTTTTATGGCTTAGCTTATTTAATTCCTATAACGAACCAATAAAGTTGTAGATGACTCTTTTGCAGGTGTCCTTAAAGCTAATAAAGATAATTATCTGTAAATTGCAAATAATGGTGCTGAAATTCCAACCCAGATATGCTGACCATAGTAACTATGCTTCTAATGCCTGTACTGTGTTTTCTCCCTAAACGAATCCCTGCCATGTATTTCTTCTGCAAACCATTGAGTGCAACTAATTTTAACTTAGTTCTGAAAGGTGCCACAGCAAGTCTTCTATTCCTTGGTGTGTACTTCCCGAGAAAGCTAATCCAAACAGCATCTGGCCCTCCATGATGGAGAGGAACTCCTAGCCAAAAGAACCACATTAGTTTCTGCTGCTTGTTAATAGCTAAGACTCCTGACCCCTGGTAATAGGCAAGAATGAAAGGCCTCTTCTTTAGCATATCCACAGTGCCAAGTGACTTCCATCCCACACTGCTGTTTCTGTTGAATCTATGGAGACAGTGGATTCACTTCTCTTTCAGATGCCTGAGAACTATGCAACTACTCAGCCCATCATTTATCTCTCTTCCTTTATCTAGTAACATTGGAAAACTGATCCATTCCATGAGGTAACTTCATAACCCCTGGATCAACTCTGATTTTATTTAGGAGCAGGCTTCCTTGTATATAACTTGGTTCTGAGATTTTGAAGACATGGATGTTGTCTGTTTTACTCACTATGATGGCCTTAGAACCAAGGAAAATACCAAGAGCTGAGTAAATTCTTGAATATTTGACAATCAAGTTATACACTGTCTTCCACACCCTCCCGGTAGGACCCTCCCGTGTCCATCAGTGCCCTGGTAGTGTGCTAGGGCCGCAGGAGAGCCACTGCAGACTACACTGCAGCCTTCGAGCAGCCCAGTGGTTCTGTGCTCCCTCAGTGAACTGTGGGTAGCCATTCTGCTCCACTTCATGGGAAACGACAGAGTTTAGTGCTATATTCCATGAAAGTCCAGAGGAGGTGCTTAAAAATTTGGAAGATGACTCAACAGTTGTCACTACACTTAAGTGGCAGACAGCAAAGCCCCACATACCTAAGGGCACAAGGTTTACTGGAGCCCTGTAACAGCCTGTGCAACACTCCCATCTTGGGAACTCAGAATACTTTAAGCACTAACTTGGAGTGAAGAAAAATACTTTTTTGCACAGTGTAGTGTAGTGGAGACATTTCTGTCTTCCCTCATTTTATGTCTCTTGATTTTGGTGTTTGCCTTGCTTAATGAACTGACACTGGTAGATGTGTGGTGTTTTCAGGTTAATTTATGGTATATTACATAGTTTATTTTTCATAATAGTATCTCCCAAGTAAAGAGAATTTGGTTCTTTGTGCAGTATGTGCATAGATTTCCTTCTTACCCTTGTCTTTCTTCATGGGCAAAGGACAATTGCTTGTGCACTATTTCAGGTATACATTATATTTGCTCTCCCCTGCACGTACATGTACATACAGGCACACACATGTGCACACACACACATAGACACACACACACCCCTTCCTGTTCTATGAAATCATGTTATGTCTGGCCAAATGATAAAGTAATACTAAAGCAATTTGTTAAATTCTGTTTGTGGTGTGACACCTTCATCGATTTGTTGATGAAACTGTTATTGTAAATTGTTTGCAAACATAGGACTCTTGACTCAGTTGAAAAATAGGCAAATGTATGTACCTGGTGATAAATAGTCCTTTGTTTCCTTTTTATCTTTTTCCAGGCAAGAAAACTGATCAGTGATTTTGCCATTATCTTGTCCATTCTCATATTTTGTGTAATAGATGCCTTGGTAGGTGTGGACACTCCAAAACTAATCGTGCCAAGCGAGTTCAAGGTAAGTGAACGCTTATCTCTCAGTTGTTCCTTGAACTCTTCAGCTTTCTTTCCCTTATCCTGTTCTAGTTTATTGTGTGTCTCTCTTAGTTAGTTTTATACAAGTATCCATCTCTCTTTTTATCAAGAGAGTTCCCTTGTTAGGCTCATACCTATATGTAGTCTAATTTCTTCACTAAGATTAAATGCAAAGACCAGGATCAAAGGCATGATTTACATTATACCAATTTTTACTTTAAAACAATATAACATTACAAAATCTTCCTTATATTCTTAAATGTTTTTAAATATCTGAAGTATACCTTATCACTGTAATCCACATAATTATTCTAGGAAAAATGCAACATAACTAACTTCACTCATTTCATAAGACTGAGGTTGAAGCTCATAAAAACTAAGTAAAATGCCTAAGATTGCTGAACCAGTGGTGGCAGGGATGAGCGCTCCAGCTCCAGTCTCTAGATTCCTGGTTCAGGGTTCTTACACGCAGCCGGACTGCCTGCCAGCCACACGCACATGCAAGGTGGATTTTAACTGTTTCAAAGAGGGTATTAGAATTATTTATTATTATTATTTATTTTAAGAATCTATTTTTATATGCAGGTATAATGGATGAAATCTACATTTCATTCATTTTGATGTTATCCGTCTTTCATTATAAGTCTTTTGCCTATTTTCTAGAACAGTTCTTACTCTCTCCACGATCAAGATCACACATGTGCTAAGATACATTAAGCGCAATGTAGCTTTAGTGTTATAACTACTCAGTGGGGAAGGGATATAGAGATATACAGATAGATATAGATATCATAGCAAATAATATCTTTGGTATTGTCTCTGCCATCAGATATTTATCAACAAGTTCTCATTCAGTGAGTCGTTATTAATTCATTGAAGCCAACATTTGTGAAGTGTTTGCGTTCAGTCAGACTTAATGAACAAGACAAAGTACCTTCTCCGTGCACCCACCACACACTGAAGGTGGTGAAAGGTGGATAGGTTCAGTGACGGGGTGAGCAGGGGAGGTGGTTGGCAGAAATACTGTCAGAAAAGAAGAGAGACTTTCTTGACAGAAAATCTGGAGAAAATAGTTTGTAGACAGAATCTATTTTAATTAATTCACTTATTTGCATTGTTTAAAATAAGGAAACATATGGGAAGTTTTTTCTGTACTAGGTGTATATAATCTATCGAGAGGAGATGGACTGAAAACTGGAAAAATTACTACGTTTTTCCATTTTCCTGATATTTCTGAAGATTGAATCAGTTCTGGATGATTTTTCATACCTAAAGCAAAAAAACCCAGAATAGTTGTTATAACATATAAAATATTTATAATTCTTCATATGCTACATTATGAATCTATCACAATTTGACAGTAGTATAAACATTTTCAGTATAACTGCTAAAATTCAGAAATGGAATTCATGATGGGCTTTAAATTTCTTGCTATTTCTTTATTGAATACTGTACTTTGGATTTTCTTCTAGATACCCCTTAAGTTTAAGTCACTTTCTTCTATCCTGAATCCTTATTTTAAATTATTCCAGTTATACAAATGGGATCTCTGTCTATTTGAGGATCCCATATTTTTTCTCTTTTCTTTTTAAATATTAGCTCAAAAATAGTGTCCTTTTGGATGATTTTTGGTGAATATTGTTTCTCCATCCTAAAACTGTTTGTATTTCCTAATATGTTGTCTCCCCAAAATAAAAGTATGTATAAGAGTACATATATTGAGTTTTCATCAAATAGCACATATTAGCTTGCTTTTGTACTGAAAAGTGTTCTCTTTCTGCTGTAAGCCAACAAGTCCAAATCGAGGCTGGTTTATCCCCCCATTTGGAGGAAACCCTTGGTGGGTGTACCTGGCTGCTGCTATCCCTGCGTTGCTGGTCACCATCCTGATTTTCATGGACCAGCAAATCACTGCTGTAATTGTAAACAGGAAAGAACATAAGCTCAAGGTAAGTGTCTAATAACAAGTATCGTGGTGAACGCTGATTCAGAACTGAGAGAGCTGTATTGGAAGTTACGCTATACGTAATGTTCATTAAGACTTGATGGAATTAATGACCACCTCAGGTTGACACAGGTCCTTGATGTGATATCTTAGAGAGAACACATTTACCCCTGAAAAAAATGTTTCCAGTCATGTTTCTCACCACCTCACTATCAAAGAGTAAGTATAGTTTAATGCTTTACCGTAGTCATCCTACCTCTGATTTTAATGTGATAATTGCCCTTCATGAAGACAGTTACAAGGAAAGATTTCAGTAAGGTATACTGAGCACCTGATCTCTGTTCATTCAAATCAAGTTTATTCTTTTCTTTTATTCAAAAAATTATTAGGAGCTGGAGATACATCTCAGTGGTAGAGGGCTTGCCCGGCTTGCACCAGGCTCTGGGTTTAATCTCCAACGTCACTAAAAATTAATGTACATATTTATGGGGTTCAGTTTGATAATTGCAATGTGTAATGGTCAGATCAGGGTAATTAGCATTTCTGTCTCCTTAAACATTTATCATCTGTGTGTGTTGGGAAACTGAAGATTTATTCTTGAAGCATATTCAGGCAGTTCATTAATATAAGCTGTTGGTAAGCATATATATTTTTTGTCCTCACATATTTCTAAGATATACTGTCCACAAAGTAGGTGAAAACACTCTATTCTGTATATTTTAGGTTTTTAAAAAATTAGTTATGAGCTTAAAGAAAATGCTTAGTGATCTGGGCTATCTTGCAAGAGGGCTGCCTAAAATGGTCTCACCTTATGTAATGTTTTTCCACCTCTAGTGACTTTTTAGGTCACAAAGCATTTCAAAAATACCATTTGGAAAAGTGAAATATGAATAAAAACTAATAAGAACTGTAAGTGCATAGGTACCTACTATGAGTCAGGCCATGTTTGTATTATATATTGTCATTAACTTTTTATAACCACCATAGAAAGGAATCATGAAAATACCTTAGACTCAGTCATCCAGAAGCAAGAGAGGAAACTACCTAGAATGGAGTTCAGCAGAGGGTTAGCAGAAGGAAAAGTCCAGGAAATGTGAAGGAAATTTGACTATAGAAACCCACTTGGCAAGGGAATAACAGCTATGAGAAGGACTCAGGCAAACTGTCAGGTTGGGATGTGGACCGTGGTTAGAAAGGTAAATGCTGCGATAGGGCTAGGAAGAGAAGACTATCAGACATCTTGCTCAAAGCAGAGATGTTTAGATTTTGGACGTTTTGGGGGAGAGAAAGCTGAGAGTGATGAAGTGATCCAAAGTATGTGACTAATTTCTGAAACGTGAGAAGTGACGTTCATCAGACCTCTGGGGTGCTGGAGTATGGGATGCATCTCATCTGCATCGATGTTGGCATTGTTGGAGGGTGGCATAGGAGGGATAAAGTGTAGGACCATGGGAGAGTGGAGGTCATGCAGAAGGGTATCCCTGTCCTGGGGACCAGGTTGAGAACAACCTGAAATTAAAAAGAAAGCAGTTTGTGGGATCATGAAAGTAAGAGAAAGGGACTTTCACTGAAGAACATGCTTGTAATCCCAGCACTCGGGGAGGCTGACGCAGGAGGGTCCCAAGTTTGAGTCCGGCCTGGGCAATTTAGCAATTTAGGGAGAACTTGTTTCAAGAAAAAACATGATCATTATTTTAAAAATTACCTACTACTTTACCAGTTTCTTTTCTTATTTTCTTTTTCTTGTGTTTCAAATGTTCCTGTTTGAAATACTCTCTTTTAGTTCACCTATTTTCTATACACAGGATTTACTGATCAGGATTTAAAAAGTTCTGCCTATGAATAGTCTTTGGTGATCAACTCACTTATTTTTGATTCCCTGTGTTTTTGTCTCACCTTCATTCCTGAAAGATCCTTTGTCTGGATAGATAACTTTATGATGAAAGATATTTTCTTTCAGCACTTGCAAGCTATCTTCCATTATTTCAAATTCCCATAAAAGTGAACTATTGGTATGATCCACATATTTATGCATTTCTTTTCTTTTTGGCATTTTTATGATCTTTTTATGTTTGTTTTGAAGTTTCACTTCAATTTGTATAGGTACAGGTTTCATATACTGAATTTTTTTGGCTTCCTGAATCTGAGTATTAGTATCTCATCAATTATAGAGTTTTTTAAGTCTTTGACCTATTTAAATTCTAATGCATCCTTCTGGAATTCTAAGTAGAAATGTATTATACATTCCCATCTTGTGTTCCTTGTCTGTTAACCTTTTTTTTAAAAAAATATTTCTGTTCTTTATGCTCTCTATGATATGTTTTGGGTAGTTTTTTCAGATCTTCCTGATTTTTGTTTGTGTGTTTTATAAATAGAGAGCTAATATTCCATGCCTGTTATCAAAGTCTATTAAACAGGTCAATGTTTAATTTATGGTCTTCAGAGAAGATTTCTAAAAGTGCCATAAGTATAATAAACTTTAATGTGTAATTTATTTGTTTAAACTAATATCCAAATAAAGTTTGTATATTATTGTCACATATCCTTCATAAACGTTTGGTCTGTACATTTTTCCCCTTCATCCTTCATAAACTTTTGATCTGTACAGTTTTCCCTTGGAAGTCATTTGTTGAGGACAAGGAGATGGCTTCTTGTCTGCTTATCTTTTGCTATGTACAAGTCCCCTGACAATTTCATGTCTTAGCACAATAACGAAAACATTTGCTGTCATCTGCCTCCCTGTTTCCTGTCATCTGTCTCTTGTTTTTCTCTTTAAATTATTTTACTTCAGGTTTCTTGTCCAAGAAGAGCCTGCACTCTGGTAGCGGAAAGGAGCTGGTGTGGGGATTGTCTGTGGCGGCTCCCTCATCCACGCAGCTCATGTGTTCAGCAACTTGCTGTTTCTCAAGTTGTCTGCTGCTTCTCACTGCCCGCATATATCTATACCTATGTACATACGTGTGTAAAGCACGCACACACGCCTGTATGTGATGTATGTGATGGACCCCACCGCGTGGCGTCGCATTCCTGTGGGGTCTCTCCCTGCATGGTGACGGGGTCATCAGCTCACAGTGCGTGGAGGCTGAGAAGATGCCAGGCTGTGCAGTGTGTACCCCTGCGGCGGGGATGGCTCTGCGTCTTCACTTTGCAGTCAGTTGGCCAAAGCAGTTGCAGGGGCAACATCCATGGAAGGATTGAGCAGGGAACCTGCTTTCTGAGCAGAGTATCAGTAAAGCCACATTGAGAAAAGCACGTAAGATAGGGGTGTTATCCAGTCATTTTTGGAAAGTAAAATCTGCCAAATTTAAATGGTCACTGGATTTGGGTTAGTGTGTATGTGTAGGGGGGGCAACATTCAGGCTACAACCACTTAAAAACTATACTTTTGCCTTGATATTTTCTAGTCCACAGAAGTAATGCAAATTCTACCTCCAAACCTAGTGCAGATTTATAGTTAGAAATATCCTTGAGGTTTTTCTCTTTTCTTTTGGCATTATACCAGTGGCAGGGCTGAGAGAGGCCTATATTCTCACTGGTTTTCTCTGTAGAATTTTTTTTTATAATTGACCAACTCAGTATGCTGGGCTCTGGATATCCTGGTTTTATTCTGGATGGTATCCCCTTCTCTGTCCTCCCCCTGTCCCCCCAGCAGTGGCTCCTGACCCCAGAGTTCAGATGGCCATTCTAACTCAGGCCTCCAGATCCCGAGCGTAGGCATTGTCTCCCAGGATGCTCCACACCCTGGGGGTGAATGACCCTGTGGATAGTTTCTTTCTTCTTGCTTTTGTTTTTGTCCCTATTTATTTCTCTTACTTTCCTACACATAAACCTGGGTTTTTAGAAGACATTTTCTGTGTTTTGTTGACCATTTTTAAATGTTTTGTTTTGGAAGAGAAATAGATATTGACTAATACATCTTTTTTTCTGTTGGAAACAATTTCCTAATTGTAATCTGTGGTTGGCCAGATGTGTTACGGATCTTTGGAGGTAAATACATGCTTTTTTGCTCATTGTTTCCTTATTTTTTTTTTTTTTTTTTTTTTGGTTTTTCTCCGGTACCGGGAACCGAACTCACGACCTTGCGCTTGCCAGGCAGGCGCTTTTGCCACTGAGCTAAATCCCCAGCCCCTCATTGTTTCCTTATTGATAAAATGCTAAATTTAGAATTTAGCAAGGTTAGCACTGATAAAATATAGAAAAAATTTATTCCCCATTCCTCATATAGAACAGTAGAGAGCTGAGATGTACATGCCTTGCAGAACAAGAGTTGAGTGGATAAAGTAGACTTTCCATCACTTTTGGAGTTGTTTTTTTGAAATCGTGTGTTTGTGTAAGGATAGTTGTAGAGCAAGTGCCAGATTTTGGTCACACATTTAATGACATTTCATCATGAATTACTGGATTTTCACTCCAAAAACTATCCTGTTACCATTTTGTTAGGAAATGAGAGCTGTGGAATATGAAAATTGGAGATTCTGTGTAAAACCGTAAGACCTTAACTGCTATGAAATTGGTTCAGAGGAGAGCCCTGATGAGGCGAGAGGGGCGGCAGTGCTGTGATGTTGAAAGCGCGTGTTACTGGTGGCTTTTGCTTTGGCTCTGTGTCAGGAGGCTCTGGCTGGCTGGCCCACTGGGCATGAGATCCACCTTTCCACTCTACTGAACAGCTCTGTGTTGATGCGGGAATGCCAGGGCGCCGGACTGCTTTTGGCCGTTGTTGTGGTTGCGTGTTCCTGCATTAGCCCTGCAGTACTCCGAAGCAAACTGAGCTCAGTAGATCGTGACTCTCCAAGATCTCCCGAGTCAGCAGAGCAGGAGCAGTGTCAGCAACGCCGAGAAACTGCTCACACAGATGATTTCTGGAGTGTCACAGGTCGGGTGTGGGAGGGAGCATCACTTAAGGTGGAATCCAGAAATAGTATTGGATAATTATGGCAACCTCTTTTCCCTGATATTTTTATGGTTATTCTCTTAATTCAAATGCAGGAGTTTTTCCTATAACTT